GTAAGGGAGCTGCCTCCACTGCTTTGTTCCTACCACTCTCCAGGGAAACAGAACTTGTGTACAGTTTCTCAATAAACAGATTACACCACAATAATACTCTGGCTCCTTGCATGCGGCCCAGTTAGTAGTACCTGGCGGGAGAAAGGGGCCTGGTGCTCCGGAGGCAGTAACACTATTGCAGAATTTCCATGGATAATGGAAGAGCGCTTGCCCCTGTGCACAGCTATTCATTTGATTGTTTGGGGAGGCAACACTTGGAGGAACTCACCCCAAGATGTTACAAGAGTAAGAACCAGGGTAGCCAGAACTGGTGCAGGCCCAAGCCATTGGGCCAGTGTGTTTGCATCCTCACTGAGTGCCTGGAAGAGCAGTTCACGCTCTGGAGCAGGTGTCCCGCTGTTCCCATGCAGACATCATGCACCCTATAGCATTGGGCTCCCAGAGCCAGCAAAGCCAGACTTGCAACTTCAACTGCCACCGCAGTTAGCAAGTCGTGTGTGCTGTGACTGGATACTGCTTTTTCTGCAGTCCTGGGGGGCTAAGGACCCCTCTCCACCCAGGCCTTGGGTACAGCAGGAAAACAAGGACCTGTAATTCACCTTTAGTCCAGCTCCTCCTCTAGCGGTAGCAGCAGTGCAAGCTGTGATGAAGATGCAGGATTGTAGTGCTGTTACCACTGTGTCATCTCCTCTGCCAGTTAGGGTGAGATGTTCAGCAGATTGTCCCAAGAAGATCTCATAGCTTTGGTCAAGGGGTTGGTGCTGAAAACCAGGATGCCCCAGGAAAACAGCTCTGAGATGTCAGGGCAGGATGGCTGGGTGTCCCTTTCCAAACAGTCCGTGAGTTGCCAGAAGAAGAGGGAAGATCCTCTGCGTAAGGAATACAAGGGATTAGAAACTTCAGATGAGGAATGGGCCCCCAGTGAAAGTGGAAGAAGAGGAGGATGTAAATCAGCCACTACAAACTCCAACACCTCCAAGACATTTCTAATCTGTGAGTCTGGCCTCAGGCCCAGAGAGTGCTGAGAGCTGGTTATGTGGAACAAGCCCCACCCCTTTTTTGCTTGGAGAATTCCCCTTCTTGTACCCATGCCAGAGCTGGCAGGTCAAATGATTTGCATATCCGAAAGGAGGCTTGTGCATCTGCTCTCGCCCGCTGATCCTATGTCCCAGTGTCTCGCTGTCCTGGCTACGGATCCTCTGCAGGTCCCTGGGGGTGACATACCCAGCCCCAGCTGTAGATTTACAGAAGCATAATTGTCAGAAAGTGCTGCAGTGTGAGCAGCTCCGTGATCTGCTCCTTGGTGCAGATCTCTGGCTTCAGCCATCAAAAGGCTGTAAACCTCTCTGGGCTCCCTGGCAATGGAATTGCATGAAGCACAGGTGCTGCATGTCCATGCTGATGTCATACCCTTGCAGGATGGCTCCTTTCACCTTCCCATAGGCTCCAGCACCTCGTGCATCCAGGCTCTTGTAGGCCTGTTGGGATTCCCCGATTTGGGTCACCCACTCTCCTCCCAGCCACTGGCAGGGCTTCAGCATTTCACTCAAAGGAAGCCAAGGCCTCATCTCTGACCGCTTTGTGTTTCCCCATTAGGGCTAAAGCTGACACAACTTCACACAGGGTCTATATAGGGCCTGCAGCGCCTCCTGAACTTGGGCTCCTCAACACTGGAGCAACCCCTCCTGTCCCTCACTCCTGATCGCTTGTGCCATCTCAGCAGCTGCCCAAAGGTGGCTATGTGGATTTTCTCTGCTCCCTTTGGTTCCTTCCGTGCGTCGGGGCCCACTGGACCACGGGTTTCAATTTTCACTTTAGTTGCCTGCTCTCCTGGAGCCTGAACCTGGAGACCGAGGAGTTGACAGCTCCCCTGCTTTGCAGCCAGTCTCTGTCTGGGGGCACCAGCCTTATCCAAGCCCTAGGTCTCAAACTTCCATATTTCACTCCCGTTCCTGCCGGAAATAACCAGTCTCTAGGCTCGCACCTGAGTGTCTAGTGTTTAAATCTCACTTTCCACAACAGGTCACAACCCACCATCTAGGCTGGGTTGGGCAGTGTGAGAACAGGTAGTAACAGTGCAGAGGGGGCAAGTTTTTAGACAAAGCAACTGTTTGGTCCCTGTGTAGTGGGAGGGGCTTCTGACAGGTTTCAGACAGAGAGAGACAGAAAGAGCCAAATTCACTGCTAGAAACCCAGGTCAGGTTGCCTAGTGCCCTCCCAGCACGTTGAGTGTCACCAAACCTACAGCACTGAAAACCAGCAACTACAGAGTTAAGGAAACGTCTCCCATACTGCAGCCCCACACAATCTTTCCTCTGCCCCCCTGGGGCTCGCAATTGGTATGAGGACCACACCAAACCTGCCCTATCCCTAACAGTGGTTGCTGTTTTCTAGACTGTGTCTAACACAATCCTGTATCATCATTCCTCTTCATCCCCTTGCTGGGCTAGGTGCAGTGGCCAATCCAGGACGCAGTTGCAGCTGGTTGTCAGCACTCGCCCTGCCAGCTGAGGAGGTGCAGCTGCAGCTAGAGGGCAGGAGATCCCCCGTTTCCTGGCTGGGTCATGCAGAGAGTTGTGTAGATTATCCCAGTGATCCCTTGACTCAAAATCTCACACTCTATGATAATGTTTGTAATGGGCTGTAGCGTTTTAGGGCCACTAGAACAGCTGCCACTGTCTCCTCAGGGGTGACAGGGAAATAGAGGAGTGTTTCACCCCCTGCATGTTCTCAGTGCCTAACAGAGCCCCACCCTGCCTTGGGTTACACACACCACTCTGCTGCATGCTGGTTCTGGCCAGTACTAGCAGTCTGGTACAAGGTTCAATCCGGGTTCACGGAGGCGATGTTCCAGGATTCCTTACCACAAGGATGGATGGATGTAAGCAACTACTGAGTCCTCAGGGGGGTGTTTTGACTAGGGAAATTCTCAAGTTCAGGTTGCACTGAGCTATCTCGTGTTTGCTAAGTCTGGCTTCAACTCACCCTTTTTCCTAGTGAAGACAAGGCCTTAGAGTTTCCCCCACGCTACCCTTGGACATTTTCCCTGCTGTCCTCCAACACTCAGGAAGGATACAGGCCTGTTATCTCTGATGAGGACAGGCTGGGGCCTTGCTCAGAGGGGATGTTTTCTAGACAGTCTCCCTACGTACATGGATTTTGGAGCACTCTGGATAATGGGCCCTAGTGCTCCTCTATAATACAGCCTGCACCCAGGGAACTACTTCCAAGAGTAGCCCCCTGGAGAAGAACAAAGGCAGAGGGTGGCAATGTGCCCATCAGCCATTCTCTAAACCAGCTGAGCAGAAGACTTGAGCTCACGCTCCTCAGCATTGCCTTAGTTCATGGACTGTCATCCAGCTTCCTAAGCCACCCACTGACCATAACAGGAGTTGAGCTTGTCCACAAAGCTAGCGACCAGAGTCAGCGCCCAGGCTCCTGGTGTGCCTGTCTCACAGTGCCTGCATAAATCACTTTCACTGGCACGTGAGCCCATTTGTAGAGTCACACACAATCTCTAGTAACTGCTGAAATATTGCTTCCCTGGCCTGGCATAGAGCATTGGTCACTAGCTGGGGTCAAACCCAATTGGGTAAACTCTAGTTGGTGGGGTGTGGCGCAGGGGCATGGATTCAGCCACAGCCGTGTGCCAAGAACATTATGAGAACAAGCAAAGTGTATGGACCCTCTACTCCAGGTGCTGTATCTCTGGACCCCCGAGAGTGAGTGACCCCATTTTCACCAGAATCCTACCCTGGGCCCTGATGATTTTTCATGGCAATTTGTGCTTGTGTGTGGACTTCAGAACAGTTTTGAAACACATGTATCCGACGAAGTGGGTATTCACCCTCGAAAGCTTATGCTCCAATACGTCTGTTAGTCTATAAGGTGCCACAGGACTCCTTGTCGCTTTTGAAACACAGGCTCTTAACATGCGGAGTTGGCTCCTGCTTCAATATGATGTGGCAAAGGGCACCCCATGATAAGGACCCAGGTGGGGATGGGCTGGACTCTAATGAACTCCCTCCCCGGTTAAGGTACAGGCGTTAATACACGTGTTTGTGCAGGGCTGTAACCCCCTGCACATCACCCCCAGCCCATACAGGTCGCTCCCTGAGCCCCTCCAGCCCTGGGACCCCAGCTCCCTGCCCTGCCCCGCCCCAGCACAGGCTCCTCTCTGAGCCACTGCACAGCACCCCCCAACTTGTAACCCCAGCTCCCTGCCCAGCCCTCCGAGCCCCCCACAGCCCTGTAACTCCAGCACAGAGGCCCCCACACCTCAGCAGGGGGACCCCCACTTGCACCCCGGTAGGATCTGCTGGGAATTGCCCGCCTCGGGCTGTGCCTATCCCCGTGGAGTGGGGTCGCCGGGCTCCCGCTGAAGCCGCTCCCGGAGACGGGCCCAGCTGGGCAGGGGGCGGGGCAAGACCTGACTGACAGCGATCGTCGCCAATCCCCGCGCGGAGGGATTAACCCTGCGCTGGCCGGGGCGGAAGCTCTTTGTCTGGGGAACCGGCCTCCCCCTGCGTCCAGGCGGGGCGGCGAGGTGAGGGGGGCGACCGAGGGATGGGGTGATGGGTGGGCGATGGGCCTGTCTGTGCTGTGGGGCAGGAACTTGGGGTTATGGCTGGGGGCTGGGCAGTGGGGTGGGGGCAGGACCTGTCTGTGCTGGGGGGCAGGGAGCTGGGATTATGGGTGGGGGATGGGCAGTGGGGTGAGGGAGGGGCATGTCTGTGCTGGGGGGAAGGGAGCTGGGGTTATGGGTGAGGGATGGGCAGTGGGGTGGGGGCAGGGCCTGTCTGTGCTGGGGGATGGGCAGTTGGGTGGGGGCAGGGACTGTGTGCTGGGGGGCAGGGAGCTGGGTTATGAGGGGTGGGCAGTGGTGTGGGGGCAGGGCCTGTCTGTGCTTGGGGGCAGGGAGCTGGGTTATGGGGCTGGGCAGTGGGGTTGGGGCAGGGCCTGTCTGTGTTTGGGGGCAGGGAGCAGGGGTTATGGCTCCATGGGTGTTTGGGTGAATCATGACTAGGTCTCTCTTTTCCCCTCTGTTGTGATTCTGACTCTCCCATCACACAGTAACATCCTGATGAATTGTTTTGCTGCAGCCCCCCCAGGAGCCTGGATATGTCCAGCGAGACTGAGGGAGAGACGCAAGTTGGAGAACTAGAGCGCAGGCCCCAGCAGGGATAACTGGTCCCTGAAGACAGATCAGCAGCTCCTGGATCTCCACATCCAGGCTCCGCGAGAGAATATGGAAACGGCAGAGCCAACAGGCCCCAAAGCAGGGAATGAGCTGGAGAGAGACGGGAAGGAGCCAGTCCTGGGATCAACCATCTCAGTAAGTCCTCGATGGTCCCGCACCGGATGGCGACAGCTGAGGACCGAGCAGTGTGACAGGATGTCCCAGTATTGGAAAGATCAACTTCAGGAGGAGCTACAGAGCTTACGGACACCTGCTGAGGTTGTGCCGACATCAGTCCCTGCATCAAAAAACCCTCCGCTGCTGGATTTGACCCCAGAGGAGGATATTGAGGCCTATCTGGCTTCCTTCGAGCAAGTGGCTGAAGCCTGCCAGTGGCCCAGAGGAGAGTGGGTGACCCGCCTTGTGCCAGCCCTCAGTGGAAAAGCTCGGCAGGTCGTTAGCAGCCTGGATGCCAGAGATGCTGGAGATTATGGGAAGGTGAAGGCAGCTGTCCTGCGAGGGTGCGACATTGGCATGGAGACACAGCGCCAGCGCTTCAGGCAGTTCCGCTACCAGGAGGCCGAGGGGCCCCGGGCAGTTTTCTGCCGACTCTGGGAACTCTCCCATCGATGGCTGAAGCCGGAGATCCGCACCAAGGAGCAGATCATGGAGCTGCTGATCCTGGAGCAGTTCCTGACCATCCTGCCCGAGGAAATCCAGAGCTGGGTCTGGGTACGTCACCCGGAAACCTGTGCCCAGGCTGTGTCCCTGGCCGAGGATTTCCAGCTGGGACAGCGAGAGGCTGGAGTGTGGGAGCAGCAGGTGAGAGCAGGTGCAGGGGAATGTCCTTTGGGCTCTGCAGGGAATTTGACGGGGCAGGTTTGGGTGCTGGGTGAACAAAGGAATTCTCAAGGCAGGACATGAGTGGGGCTTGTTCTGTGGAATCCTGCTCTCAGCACTGGGGTCTGGGCTGTCTGGGGCTTAGGGCTCAGCTGGGTCCCCAGCTACAGGGATTTCCAGAGCTCCCTGCTCTGTAATGCTCTGCAGATCCTGGTGTTCTCTGGTTTGTAAGTGGCACTGCCTCTTTAGTATGCAAGGTCACTCAGTACCCTTCAGCAGCCCTTCTTGGGGATGATGGTGACAGGACGACGACCTCCTCAGCATTTGACCTGGTAGAGATGCCTCAGTAGTACACTGCAAGCAGAACTGGTCACTGGTTTGAAATGTGCTATTAGAGAAGCATTTCTTGCTTGGGGCTAGATGCTGCTCACTTGGCATGTGAGCCAGGGAAGGGGCAGTTTCTAATCACAATAAATAACCCCATCTGAAGCCCGAGGGCAGGTACCCAGCTTTGCCCAGACAAAGGTTCAATGGATGTTTTGTGCCCAGGGAATTTTCAAAGTTGGTGTCGACTGTGCCCAAGTTGACCAAATGCCCAGGAATGTTGCATGGGGGGCTCAGGACTGAGCGGACTTGGCCACTAAGTATACAGCACCATATGCACTTGGCATTTAGCTGTCATTAGTACATGGCAATTTGCAATCGGCATACAAACATGCTGTAAACAGACCCTGATGGAGAGATCGAGGGTGCAGGGCTCCCACTTGGACCAGACACCAGAACTTCTGCCCTCATTGTACCCCCTGGAGGAAGGGGTGTGGTACCTCCCTCTGGGGCCCTCCCCCAAGCCACTGGTGGTGTCCGCAGGGCCCAGCACTGAGGGAAATTCTCCACTGCTGAGAATTCCTGCACACCATGGTGTCCCTCAGGACAGCTGTGGGTCTGTCACCCTGCAGATCAGAGCCATATGGAAGCCCACTAGGCTCGCAGGCTGCGGAACGCCACGTGTCTGTCGCGTCCCCAGTGGCAGGGATGTACAGTACTGTGCAGTGTACAGTACTGACCCTGACTGGCAGGACTCCTCTTGGTCAGCCTCATTGGCTCATCACTTTGGGGGTGAGCCTTCCCACGTGTATGCCTGTACTTCGGTGTGGAAGACCCTCCAAGTCCTATTGACCCTGGTAGGGGTTGGGGGAGCCTTCACCCTGGGGTGGACCTCTTTGCTAATGGGGCCTTTTAGATATGACTCTTCCCCCCCGTAATTCTCAGGCCCTGGTTCCACGGTGACCCATGTGGTTCCTTCTCAGGTCACAGTGCGTGTGAAGGTCGAGGAAGTGACCCCAGAGGAGGTGGAGACCCCTGAAGCATTATGGGAATCTCCGAGCTCCCAGCTGGAGCCACCACAGCCCAATACCACGTGGGGATCCCAGGAGGAGGTAGGACGGAGCAAGTACAAGTTGCCACATGCCCCTGAAGAGGAGATGGAAGCTCTACAGGAAACTGGTAATAAGCCATGTAGGGAGGTTAGGGGTGCCTTTCTGAGGAAAGGGTGTGTGGAGGGGACAGCTTGGAGGGGAGAACTGGGGGAACTGCATGGCTCAGAGGATTTATAGTGAGGTGTGGACCCATCAATCTGTAGGTTAATGCACAGCAGGATTGGTGCCTGCGGAACAGGCCACATAATCGTGGTAGGTCAATCTTGGTGGCGATTGTGGGCTTCATAGCTAACAGGAACCTTAGTTCCCCGCCTTCCAAGGTCTCTATGCGAGGCACTCACAGGTGGGATTGGTGTTTCAGAGGAAGAGCCTATGGAGGCTGATGTCTCGTGTAACATATGGAGTTATGGATACAATGTGGATTGCACTCTGGCTGCCCCCAATCAAGTGGCTGCCTCCTTCTGCCATCTCTTGTGTCTCCTGTTCAGGATCCTACCAAGCAGGTGCCTTTTCCTCCTGATCCACATCCCTCAGGCCTTCCTGTGCATCCTGACTGATTCCTGGAAGGAGCCACTTCCTCCCACCCATCCTCTAGGTGCTAATATGGGGAGTGAGAGCAGAATTGGCACCTCCTAAATTGCTCCCCAGAATGTAGAGGGGATTCAGACCCTGATGGTCTCCTCAACAGAGGCACCATGGTTATTTTCTTACTCTTCCAGCAGATAAATGAGAATGAGGAGAATCCTCAGCAGGAAGGGCCTGAGATAGTGAGCTCATGGGATGTTATCCCAGAGGGAGCCTGGCGTCCATCCCTGGAGCAGCCTCTCTGGGGGTAGCAAGGGTGGGGCCGTAGTACAGAGAAGGCTCAGGCATAGGTGCTGACTTTGTGGGTGCTCCGGGGCTGGGAAAAATTGGTGGGTGCGGAGTACCCACCGGCAGCTCCCCGCCTGGCCCTCCCGCCTCTGCCTCCTCCCCTGAGCGGGTTGCCGCGTCCTGCTTCTCCCCCCTCCCTCCCAGCGCTTGCGCCACGAAACAGCTTTCGTGCAAGCCGCGGGGGGGGGGGGGGGGGAGGAGGAATGCGTCATGCTTGGGGAAGAGGCGGGGATTTGGGGAGGGATCCAATGGGGCAGGGAGGGGATGGAGTCGGGGCGGGGCCGGAGTTGGGGCCGGGGGGGGCGCGAACCCCACCAGCACCAACAAAAATTGGCGCCTGTGGGCTCAGCATTTTTCTCACTGTCTAACCTGACCCAGGGGCTCTGTGCAGACACTGTTGGGTGGGACTGTTCACCTTTACAGAAAAGTTCTGTCCAGCAGGTGGGTGCTCCCTGACTTGGCTTATAACAGTCGTGGACCCTTTCCCAGCCTTTCTTATAGCCCCTACATCTGACTTGCCTCCTGTGCATCAAGTCAGGTGGTAGGTTTCCCTCCTCCGGTGGTGGCATCCTTCTCTGTTCACCTTCCCCTCCACCTGTGTCTCTCCCATTCAAAGCATCCTTTGAGGAGCCGCTTTCTTTGAGGAACCTGCTGAAGGAAGGGGAAGAAATTGCTGGGGTTTAGTTCTCTCTGGCATCATTATTTTATGTTATCACTGGGCCTCTCTTCCATAGACCCTTAGCAGGTGCTACCAGGCAACTGGTCTCATCAAGCAGACATCACAGCACTGTTTGCTCGGGGAGCAGTTACCCCTTCTGGGCATGATGATTGGGCAGTTTTCTGCGCTCCTTCCAGGTTCTCGTCAGCAGATATGTTCAGCTGTTCCTCCACAATCTAGCAAAGGTGCTAAGTCCCACCCAAGAGATCCCTATTAGTAGGGGAGGTCCCACCCCCAGCTGTCCCTGACCCTTCTCAGGCAGCTCTAGGACTGTCCTGCTCGCTCTCATGCACCCAGCGTAAACTCCTGTGATGCACTAACTGTTATAAGGGTTGATCTGCAGAGCTGTCTAATCATGCCTTGGGCAGTGCCATATCCAGCAAGGCTGGTAACAGCCAGGTGGATAACAGAGAAGGTGCTCCCTCTGATTCCTGCTGTGCCAGGCTTTTCCATTCCCACCCTGGCCGGCCCGTAGGGGCTGGGGGAACAATCTGATGCTTCTCTGCCAGCCTCCCTGCTTCTTGCCCACTGGGAGGCTGATGCCCTTTGCTGGTCTCAGCATGTGCAGCCATCGTCCTAGTCAGATGGCTCCCCAGCCTTTCCCTTGTGCCATTCACCTGGCTGCATTCAGTATCTCTACAGCCACGTCCGTCTATTATCTGTCTCACACAGACTCTCCCCAGGAGATGTCAACAGGGACCCAAGCCCCTGCATGTAGCTTCCTTCGGACACAGCTTCCTGGGACAGATGGCTGCTGTTCTGGTGTCCTCAGAGGCAATCAGTCCATCACCTCTGGTAGTGCTAGGTTCCAGGGCCATAGCAGAGAAGGCTGAGTCCAGGCTGCATGGCTGTTCCTCATGGCCAGTGCTGAGTCCTTGCCATCCACGTTTTGGCAGGGGGAGTGCAGGAACCGCAATTCACCCCCTCTCTGGGCTTAATGCTACATTGGAAATGTCTCTGAGACACTGATGTAAGCGACACAATAGTGAAGTATTGCCTAGAGCATGTGATCCAGGATGGCACAAGCATTACTGGGCTGATGGGATGGGGCATCCTGGGCTGAACACTCTGTCTCCAGGCAACGGTAATGTTGGGTCATGGAGCCTCTCTGATTCCTCCCCACAGTATCAGGTGCCTGCAGTGTAAACAGGGAGACCCAGTTTGTTTCCCTGGCATAGTTCAGCAGAAGGGCTCGTGTATGGTTAGTATCTTTATGCGGATTTTTGTAGGAAGCAGAGGGAGCTTGATTGCCTCCTACTGACACCTAACAACAGCTGGGAAAGGTTCTGTAGAATGGACCAGATTAGCAGAGTTTGGCCAGTGCTGTCTGTGTGGATTGAGCTGCAGAAAGAAAACTGGGGAGCTGACAGGAAAGAAAGAAATGGAAATCACGAGTGAGCCTCTGGCCCTTATTTCTGCATTGCTGACTGTGGGGCTTCTGCTGGGGGTATCTCCTCTGGGGTGGGACCTGAAGCTGCCTCAGTCACACCTGCTGCCAGGATAAAAGTGATTCCTCCTGACAACAGCAGGATCTCACACAAATTCTCTTTTCCACCCAGCAGGTGCCAGGATCCTGAGCAGAGCGGAGGAGCAGCCCAATTTGGGAGAGCAAGAAAACTTGGATCTGGCCCGAACATCGCAAGGCGGATCAGGAGAGAGTGTCGCCCGCAGACTTGAGCGGGAAGAAGCCTGCACGAGGCAGAAGAGAAACTCAGCTGGGAACGAGCGAATTCCACCAAGGGTGTTCCCACAGCTCCCTGCTCAAGGGATACCTGGGGTCGTAAGAGATCTTAAAAGCCAGGAGAGCAGCGTTCACAGGATGGAGAAACCCCACAGATGTCGAGACTGTGGGGAAAGGTTCTGGGAGAAGCAGGACCTCATGGCCCATGGGAGAGTCCATGAGAAGGACAGACCCTATCCCTGTCCTGAATGTGGGAAGAGCTTCAACAGACTGACCCATCTCCGAACCCACCAGAGAACCCACACGGGAGTGAAACCCTATTCCTGTGGGGAGTGTGGGAAAAGCTTTGGCCACCTCTCCACGCTGACCACGCACCAGAGACTGCACACAGGGGAGAGACCCTACTCCTGTGCTGAGTGCGGGAAAACCTTCACCAACCCCTCAGACCTCAACAAGCACCAGCGCTCCCACACGGGCGAGCGGCCCTACCCCTGCGCCGAGTGCGGGAAGCGCTTCAGCCAGCAATCAAATCTGACAATGCACCAAAGAAGTCACACCGAGGACAGACCGTACCCCTGCACCGAGTGCGGGAAGAGCTTCAAGTACCTCGCTGATCTCACCGTGCATGAGCGCTCCCATACGGGCGAGCGGCCCTTCCCCTGCCCTGAGTGCGGGAAGAGCTTCAGTAACAAATCCTCTCTGGCTCGTCACCAGAGAATCCACGCCAGAGCCGCAGCCAGAAACAAGTGAGGCCTGCCGGCCAAGAGTGCCACTCCAGCTGTGTGTGTATAATAACGTGAAGTAGAGGAATGGAAACAGTTAGTGCAGGAACTGGGAGAAATCAGCCCCCTTCTCCCAGTACCAGTTCCATCCCTCCCTCACAGACCCCATGAGGTGGATTAAGAACCATGAGAACAGAGGGTGGCTTCACCTTATGCTCTGAGGAGTCCCAACTCCTGAAACCCCTGAGCAGGGACTGCTCCCTTACCTACTCAGCAATTGAGCAGCCTGTCTCTTGTGTCCACATGAACATCAGTTAATCTGCTCTGGTTTCCCTGTAGCTTCTCTAAGGGCTGGTCTGAGGCCTACTACAGGCTCTCTGTATTTCTGCTGTTTTGGGGTGGGGTGGGGTGTGTGTGTTTGTTATAACCTAGGGACTTGCCCAGGCTGTGAGCAGGTCATTCGAGATAGGGAAGGGATTTCTCCCAGGGGTTTGGAGGCCCAAGATCTCTCAGCTCTATGAGGAAAAAGAACCAAAGAATTCCTCAAGGGCTGCTGCTTATGTCAAACTCACAAGGTGACATCAGACCCAGCACTGCTGGGAACTGTGGATCCAGGGGGAGGTGTTTGGCCACATCTGTGTCAACCAGCTCTGCCTCTGTGGCCTGCACAACCACCCTCTCCACACTCCAGACTTTCCAAGCCCTCCAATGTCACTCTGTAACTATGCCCAAAGTCTGCCGCATCATCCCATCTCCTGAGAGGAGCTTCCTGCTATTGCCTGTCCCAAACTAAGCATTTATGTTTGCTATGTAATTAATCGTGTGTGTTTATTCATTGCCTCATTAGTTTGCTGCTCCTGCCCTGCTCGTCGCCATGTTAACTCTTTATTTACTGCTCTGTCTCTGCAATCTGCTTTTTTTGTGTGTGTGTGTGTGTCCATACTCTGTGACTGCTCAACTGCCCATCAGTACAACTATCGCTTTAGCTGTGTCTTCTGAGATTTTGAGCATGTAGCCTTGATCCTGCAATGAGCTCTCCACAAGCAAGATTCAGGGCCTTTATTTTTATTGACTGACCTACCTCGTCTGCTGCTTTTCTGAATTGCTGGTATTTTTTAGTTGAAGTGTGTGAACAGTCATTGTAATTAAGTGAATAGTGTTCATTATTGGTTATTGCTCTACATACTTAATTCTTATTAGTCACTTGACATGGTCTAACTGCATTATTATGTCCCTTAATTAGCTATCCTGTGTCATTTGCCCTTTGTCACTTTTGTTTCTTGTTATCTGCAGTCCTGACTTCCCAATCACTATAATGATGGTTTATCAGACTCCTGGGGGGTTTCAGTTTGTCAAACAATAAGGGAGAGAGGCAGAAATTGGGACGATTGGGGAGAGGAGACCTCAGACACTTATCGGGGAGACTGAGATGTGCATCGGGACACTGGGCAACATGAGGATCAGTGGTGCAGCCTGATCTGGATCCTATGTGCTGAACTGGGGCACCCGGTTGCAAACAAGATATTGCAGAACTAGAGGAGGTTCAGGGAATAATCAAGGCCTGGAAGAACTCTCCTATGAAGAGAGATGGATAAGATGGGGGTTGTTTCCCTTAGCAAGGAGATGAATAAGAGTAGGCAAGATAATAGCATATAAAATAACAGGAATAAAGAAGATGGATCAGGAAATTCTCTATTCTCCTTGTCTCATAACACATAAACCCGGGGACCCTAAATGAAACTAAAGGGGGACAAATTAGACTAATAGACTTTAAGGCCAATAGAGACTATCAGCTAGTCTGTCCTACTGCCCATCACATGTCACAGAACCTCACCCAACCGCTCCTATAATAGGCCCCTAACCTCTGGCTGAGTTACTGAAGTCCTCAAATCTTGACTCAAAGACTTCAAGTTACAGGGAAGCCACCATTTACTCTAGTTCATAACCCCAAGTGACCCATGCTGTAGAAGAAGGCGAAAAACCACCAGGGACTCTGCCAATATTCCTTCCCTACCCCAGATACGGAGATCAGTTGGATCCTGTGAATGTAGGTGAGGCCCACCAGCCAGACACCTGAGAGAGAATTCTCTGTACTAACTCAGAACCCTCCCCATCTAGTTTCCCATCTCTGGCCATTAGAGAGATTTGCTGCTAGCAGTCTCAGATGGGCCAGATGACATTGTAGGCAACCTCATCATACCATCTCCTCCATAAACTTAACAAGCTTAGTCTTGAAACCAGTTAGGTTTTTTACCCCCACTCCTCCCTTTGGAAGGCTGTTCCAGAACTTCACTCCTTTGATGGTTAGAAACCTTCATCTAATTTGAAGCCTAAACTTGCTGAGGGCCAATATATCCATTTGTTCTTGTGTCAGCATTGGCCCTTAACTTAAATATCTCCTCTCCCTCACTGGTGTTTATCCCTCTGATGCATTTATAGAGAGCAATCATATATTTTCTCAGCCTTTGTCTGATTAGGCTAAACAAGCTAAGATAATTAAAACAACAAGGCATCCGGTGGCACCTTAAAGACTAACAGATTTATTTGGGCATAAGCTTTCGTGGGTAAAAAACCTCACTTCTTCAGATGCATGGAGTGAAAGTTACAGATGCAGGCATTATCTGTAACTTTCACTCCATGCATCTGAAGAAGTGAGGTTTTTTACCCATGAAAACTTATGCCCAAATAAATCTGTTAGTCTTTAAGGTGCCACCGGATGCCTTGTTTTTGTGGATACAGACTAACACGGTTACCCGCTGATACTTAAGATCATTAAGTTTCCTCTCCTAAGGTCGGTTCTTCTTTCTTCTGATCATCTAATAGCCTGTTCCAGTTTGAATTAATCTTTCTTAAACATGGGAGACCAGAACTACACACAGTATTCCAGCTGAGGTCTCACCAGTGCCTTGTATAATGGTAATAACACTTCCATAGCTCTACTGGAAATACCTCATCTGATGCATCGTAGGATTGCATTAGCCTTTTTCACAGTTGCATCACATTGATGGCTCACGGGCATGCTGTGATCAACTAACACACTCAGGTCTTTCTCTTCCTCTGTCACTTCCAACGGATAAGGTGCCCACTTTATAGCAAAAATTCTTATTAGTGCCTAAATGCATGACTTCGCACTATTAAATTTCATCCCATTTCTATTACTCCAGTATTCAAGGTCATCCACATCTTCATGTATGATATTCTGGTCTTCCTCCATATTGGCAATACCTCCCAACTTTGTATCATCTGCAAATGTTATTAGCACACTCACACTGAAAAATAATAAAAGGAAATACTTTTTCACACAGCATGTAATTTAGACAGAGGAACTCATTGCCACAGGAAGTTCTTGAGGTCAAAAACTTAGCAAGATTATAAAAGGATTGGATACATATGTGGATATTCTTATATCCAGTTACAATAATTATTACAAACAAAATGATGGTGATGATATTACACCTCATGCTTCTGGGTTTAAACCAATCTCTAATTGTAGGCAATCAGGATAAGACTTTGTGGGAGTGGATTGTCCTATATCTGCTACTGTGGGGGTTCTTACACCAGCCTCTGAAGCATTTGATGCTAGCCACAGTCAGACAAGATACAGGACTAGTTGGACCTTGGGTCTGATCCAGTCTGGCAATTCCTATATTCCCATGATTTCCATATCATGTGATAAAGGGACAGCCTCTCCACCCCCAGCCATCTATCCCCTACCTTTTTGTTTGCCGTCCAGGCGGAACTACACAGTGGAGATAAGGGACCTAACACTCCAGAGAAGACGTTACAGTATTTGAGAATTTACAGTAGGGAGGAGACAATTGGTGTCGCTTACCTCAAAATGTTACAGGTGTAAGAACCAGGTTAGCCAGAATGGATGCCAGACCAGCATCTTTGCATCTGCACGGAGTGCCTGGAAGAGATATTCACCCTTTGGAGCAGGCATCTTGCTGTTCCCATGCAGACATCACGTGTCCTGGCGTGTTGGGCTTCCTGAACCAGCAAAGTAAAACCAGACTTGAAACTTCAACTCCAAAGTAGTTAGTGAGTCTTGTGCATTGTGACTGGATGCCTGGCTTCCTGCAGCCCAGCTGTTCTCAGTGTGAATGAGTGTGTGACTTGGCAAGTTAGGTCATAACTCACTCCTGGTGCACCTGCTCTCTGGGAACGAACAGGGGTAGCTGTAATGGAGACAAGACTCAGGAATTACCACTGCCATCGACCCCTGACTAACAGGCTAGCCATTGGCCAAATCCTCAGAAAGGGCTGTGACAGCTGCTGCTGAGGACTTGGTGTTGGAAACATGCATGTCGCAGGAAAGCAGCCCTGAGATGTCAAAATGGAATTGCAGAATGTCCTTTTCCAAGGACTTGGTGAGTTGCCAAAAGAAGAGCAAAAGGGCCATGAATAAGGACTGGAGGGGGACAAGACATGCTTTGTAGACTTCACACGAGGAGTGAGAGAGACTCCAGTGAAAGTGGAGGAAGAGGAGCCAGGTCTAGGTTAGCTTTTGCCTTCTCCAACAACTCATACATATTCCTGATCTCAGTGTGGCTCTGAGCCAAGACAGGGGCTGGATCCCAAGTCCTACACTCCCACTGCCCAGGGAACAGATGACACTGAGGCCTGTCTGACATAGGATATATCTACACTTCAACCTGGGATGTAACTCACAGCTCGAGATGCTCTGTTTGAGCCAGCATACTAAAAATAGAGTGTAGTTGGAGTGGCGGGAGGGATTAGCTGCCCACATATACCGGTCCAACAAGATGCCTGGCACATTCTTGGGACAGCTAGCCCCCACACCGCCATGGCTACACTCTATTTTAGCACACCAGCTCAATCAGAGCTAATGTGGCTAGGGCTCCTCGACCTGGAAATTGCACTCCCTACTCAAAATGTAGATGGACCTATAGTGCAAGCAGGTGGCAAGGACGGGCACATGGGGCTGGCCACAGGAGGAGCTCACCTCTTCCTGGAAAGGTCCTGGAGCCTTACACTACTGGGGAAGATACCAGAAGGAAGTAGGAGGGTCCAGGGAACAGCAGAGGTCCCAGGCCTCAGCCTCAGCTCTAGAAATCCCCCTTCCAAACCGCTGTGGCAGCCTGCCTACTGGCTGCTCAGAGGGGCTCTGCCCCTAGTTTAGGAGTTCTCAAACTGGGGGTTGTGACCCCTCAGGGGGTTGCAAGGTTATTACATGGGCGGTTGCAGCTGTCAGCCTCCACTCCCAAACCCTGCTTTGCCTCCAGCATTTATAATAGTGTTAAATATTTTTTAAAAGTGTTTTTAATTTATAAGGGGCAATTGCACACAGGCTTGCTGTGTGAAAGAGGTCACTAATACAAAAGTTTGAGAACCACTGCCTTAGCTCGTCTTCCTCCCTGCAGTCCCATTTCCTTGTTTCCCCCCCGGCCCTCTGACCACTGAGCCACAGCCATCTTCCCTGAGAAGTTTGGCTTCAGTCTCCTTGAAAACCATGGGAGTTGGCACGGGCAGTCACCTATACCAAGGGCAGCCTCACTGCCACACACATAGGCTGCAGGAAAATGGGGACTATCTTGACTGAGGCCAACTTGGCTCCTCTGAGGTCAATTCCTCGCCCTTCAACCACACTGGGAACAAATATGGCAGGGGTCAGCAACCTTTGGCACATGGCTCGCCAGGGTAAGCAACCTGGCAGGCCGGGCTGGTTTATTTACCTGCCACGTCCGCAGGTTTGGCTGATCGCGGCTCCCACTGCGGTTCGTCACTCCAGGCCAATGGGGGCGGCGGGAAGTGGCGCAGGCTGAGGGATGTGTAGGCCGCTGCTTCCCGCTGCTCCCATTGGCCTGGGACAGCAAACTGCAGCCAGTGGGAGCCACGATCGGCCGAACCTGGGGACAGGATTTTTACCCTGTTGCTTTTGTTCATCCCAGTGACGAGTGTGTGAGGACTCAGAGGGGAGCTGAGAAAGGGGCTAGAGAGGACAGAGGGTCCTGAAATGGGGTTTCCCAGGTCAGGGCTGGCAGGTTCCTGAGAACTAAGGGGTGTCCGGGGCAGGGTGTCTCCAGAGCCCCTACAGGGGGGCAGTCCGAGGAAGATGCTGGGGGGAAGTGGCCCCTTTGGATCCCCTTGACTGGTGATCCTGGAAGGGAGCTGGCCCTGGGCGGGGGTCTCCAGCTCTCTGCGGGGAGACCACTGCCCAAGGCTGCAGGGCCCCCTGCCCGGGAGCCACAGTCCCAGCCGCCTGCAGACGGGCAGCCCCGGGGGGGGGGGAGGGAAGGGCGAGCTCTGGCCCGTTGCCCCCTGCCTGGCTCTAGGGACTGAGCCCCCGGGGCGGCCGAGCGGGGGACGGGCCGGGCTCTGACTGACAGCGATCGCGGCCAATCCTCGTGCTGGGGATTAACCCTGCGCTGGCCGGGGCGGAACCTCTTTGTCTGGGGAACCGGGCCGGCCTCTCCCTGCGTCCGGGCGGGGCGGCGAGGTGAGGTGAGGTGAGGCGAGGCGGGGGGACGGCCGGGACCTGGGGTTCCGGGTGGGGTCTGGGGTTATGGGCAGGGGTCTGGCCGGGGAGCGGGGGGAGGAGCAGGGACCTGGTGGGGGAGCAGGGACCTGGGGATATGGGCAGGGGGTCTGGCTGTGCTGGGGGGCCGGGGAGCAGGGAGCTGGGAGGGGGGGAGGGACCTGGGGATATGGGGTCTGGCTGTGCTGGGGGGCAGGGACCTGGGGATATGGGCAGGGGCTGGGGGAGGGTTCTGGCTGTGCTGGGGAGCCAGGGACCTGGGGATATGGGTCAGGCTGGATGGGGGTCAGGGACTCAGGGAGGGGCCTTCCTGTGCTGGGAGCAGGGCAGGGAGCTGAAATGACCATTATTGCCAGTACTCACAAGCTTATCACAAGACCCCGGATATGTGATGATGTTGTTAGAGCTTCAGCTCAGTCCCTGCATTGGTTAAAATGAACGAAGTAGTAAGTTCCTACAAGGCTGCAGAGAAAAGCTTGGAAACCTGAATCCTACAGGGTGCAAAACAGAACCCAACATTTATCGTTGTAAATCTCATGGTGATAAAGCTAAACTCGTGATTTTTGAGTGCTTAGTTATCAGTACTGGATTAGGGGTCAGCAGGGGGCTAGTCTGTGCTGAAGGGGAGCTGGCTGTTTGGGTGAATCAGGCCTGGGTGTCTCTTTTCCCTTCTGTTTACTGGGGTCCTTGTTACACAGTGAAATCCCTAGTCAGTGTTTTGCTGCAGGAGCCCCAGGAGTCTGGACCATTCCAGCAGGAACAAGGGAGAGATGCAGGTTTGAAAACTAGAGCACTTACCTCAACTGGGATAAGGCTGTTTTCACAAGGCACAAAATGGCTGCAAAGCACCGTGGTCGGAAGCCCCGGGGGCTGCAGATCCAGGGTCCGCTACAACACGTGGTGCTAACGCATGTCAAAGTGGAAACAGAAAATCCAGCAGGCCCCAAACCAGGGAAGGAATCGGAGAGAGAAGGGAAAGATGCTGCTGTGATGCCACCCATCTCAGCAAGTCCCCCATTGTCCCGGACAGGACAACAAAAATCCAGCTCTGAGCAACGGGAGAAGATCCCCCAGCATTGGGAAAATCAAAATCAGGACATGCTGCGAGCCCCCTGGACCTCTCCTGAGGCTGTACCGGCATTAGCCTGGGCCTGGGGAAACCCAGAAGTGCCTGAGCTCACACCAGAGGATGACATTGAGGTCTATCTGGCTTCCTTCGAGCGAGTGGCTGAAGCTTGCCACTGGCCCAGAAGAGAGTGGGTGACCCGACTCCTGCCATCCCTCACTGGAAAAGCCCAACAGGCCATTAGCAGCCTGGATGCCAGAGACGCCCGAGACTATGGGAAGGTGAAGGCAGCCATCCTGCGAGGCTGCAACATCAGCACAGAGATGCAGCGCCTTCAGTTTAGGCAGTTCCGCTACCAGGAGGCCAAAGGGCCCCAAGAGGTCTGCAGCCGCCTGTGGGAACTCTCCCATCAATGGCTGAAGCCGGAGATCCGCACCAAGGAGCAGATCATGGAGCTGCTGATCCTGGAGCAGTTCCTGACCATCCTGCCTGAGGAAATCCAGAGCTGGGTCTGGGTACGTCACCCGGAAACCTGCGCCCAGGCTGTGTCCCTGGCCGAGGATTTCCAGCTGGGACAGCGAGAGGCTGGAGTGTGGGAGCAGCAGGTGAGAGCAGGTGCAGGGGAATGTCCAGGAAGCGGCCTCCTTTGGGCTCTGCAGGGAATTTGACGGGGCAGGTTTGGGTGCTGGGTGAACACAGGGAATTCTCAAGGCAGGACGTGAGTGGGGCTTGTTCTGTGTAATCCTGCTCTCAGCACTGGGGTCTGGGCTGCCCGGGACTCAGGACTCAGCTGGGTCCCCAGTTACAGGGATTTCCAGAGCTCCCTGGTCTGTGATGCTCTGCTCTGCAGATCCTGGTGTTCTCTCTTTGTAAATGTTGCTGCCTCCCACCTGTCCCCTTCACTCAGTACCTCTCAGCAGGCCCATCGTGAGCAACTGTGGCTGCTGTTACAGTGCACTCAGTGCCTCACCAAGGCTTGGATCAATAGTGAAGCCCCAGTCAGATTGGGGACGGTGAGAGGGAGATTTGGTTACTGTGTTTAAACATGCTGTTCAGCAGGTTATTTTGGATGTTGCAGCTGTGGAAAGGGGGCAAGGAAGGAACCATTTTTACTCAACAAGGGCAACATTATTAAAAGCCTGAGTGGGTATAAATATGCATCCACGTGCACCTGGGAGCTCTAGTGATTTTCAAAGCGAGGGTAGGACTCTGCCTGAATGCCCAGGAAACGTGTGGGTGTGCAAGGCTGAGAGGAAAAGCTCGTGGTGTTCCATTTGGTTACAAAGCCTGAGATGCAGATGTGATCTACAAGATTCAGAGTAGCAGCCGTGTTAGTCTGTATCCGCAAAAAGAACAGGAGTACTTGTGGCACCTTAGAGACTAACAATTTTATTTGAGGATAATTTGTTTGTCTCTAAGATGCCACAAGTACTCCTGTTCTTTTTGCAGATCTACAAGATGTTATCAGCCCCTACTGCAGGGTGGCCAAATCCACAGGACAGGTGATTCAGATAGCGATCAAGGGGGCAAGGTGGGACCCTGCCAATTTGAATGCTTTGGAAGCCCTCCAGGCACATTGAGAGTGGAGTGCCTGATGCCTGTAATGTCCTGTCAGTCCTTTACAAGGCCCCAGTTGCATGGATGCCAGTTGCAATGTTGGCCCTGACTGGCTGGGACAGGACATGGCTCCAATAAATTAACCTCTGTGGCTTCCCCTTCAGCTCATCAGAGGGATGAGTCTGTACTTTAGTGAGGCAGGTCCTCCAAGTCCCTTGACCCTGTCAGGGGCTAGGAGCGCTTTGCCAGCATGGCCTTTTAGATACAGTACAGCTCCTCCCCATGAATCTCTGGCCCTGGCTCCAAAGTGATGTGCTTGTATGGGGTTCATTCCTAGGTCACAGTGCGCGTAAAGGTTGAGGAAATGGAGACCCCTGAAGCATTATGGGAATCTGAGAACTCCCAGCTGGAGCAACTGCAACCCAGTCACAAGTGCGTCTCCCCAGAGGAGGTTGGACAAAACAAGTCCAAGTTGCCCTGTGCCGAGGAGAATCAAGCTCTACAGGAAACTGGTAATAAGCCACGTACAGGGAATAAGGGGCGTTCTTCTCACCAAGGGGGAGGTGGGGGGCAAGGGAAGGGGGCACAGATGACAGTAACAAGGGAACCCCTATGTCAGAGGGTCTGTGGAGGGTAACTCAATGGCTCTGGAGAACTGTAATTTTGTATAGAGCCTTTCATCTACAGGCAAGCAAGAGTGATGCCTGAGAAAGACAGGGGGCTGCATGGTGGCAGTGGGTGCTCATTAAGGGAATTTAGAGTAGGTATTGTGGGTCACAGTTCATCATCCCTGGGCCAGGAAAGCTCCAGTGCCTTAGCAGTGATTGAGGTGGGGCTGGCCATGAGAGGAACAGCTGTGCAGACCCTAGTCCTTGTCACCCGCCCCCACAATGTTGAACTATCCTCTGTGTCCTTCCTGGCATTCAGGGAGCTGTAGCAGTGGGAATGCAGGAGCCCTCTGAATTCAGGCCCTCTGACTTCACTGCCAAACTCAGGGACAAGAATATCTGCACATACTGGTGTAATGTATTATATAGTAAAAATAAAGCCTGGAGAATGAGCCCCAGCACTGGGCATTATGGCGCTGATGGGCTGAGAAATCCTGGGAAAACTGTCCTGGGCAGCAGTAGGTTTGGCAGTGGATTCTGACATGGTTTAGCAAAAGGGCACATACACAGAATAGCTAATACTTTAAGTGGATTTCTGTAATAAACAGAGCATGATCGTCACCCTCTGATCACCTTAGGAAGAGCAGGAAAAGCAGTTGCCTGAAATGGAGGGGTGTACCAAATAGATTAGCTAGTCCTGCTTCTGTGGGAACTGATCTGCAGAGAAACAGACTACTTGGGGCGAGCTGAAGGGAGCGAGAGAAGCCAGGAGCAGAGAGAGAGAGCTAAAAGTGAAGGGACAGAAAGATTTAAGGGGATGTTCAGATAGGAGAAGAGGTAAAGAGACAAGCACAGGAGAGGCACAGAGTGAAGGCAAAGGAGGTGAGCTGAGAGGGCAGGAGTGAGAGAAGGGAGGCTACTGGCAAAGAAGCCTGTATAGAGTGGGTGGTATGGTGCTTAGCAAGGTGATGGGGCTGAAGGGGAGGAGAAGGAGGCTGTAAAAACCTTCTGGCGGGGTCTGAGGGGAAAAAGGAAGGGAATGAAGAATGGGATGTGGGCCTTCCTGACTTTTCCCCCTCCACAGCTCCCCTCAGCCCCATTTCTGTGTGGCTGACTCTGGGGCTCCTCTTGGGGTATCTCCAGTGGGGAGGATGTGAGGCTGCTACAGTCATGGCCATGAGATGAGTGACTTTCCTTTACAACAGCAGCACATGAAATAGATTGTCCTTTCCATCCAGGTGCCGGGATCCTGAGCAGAACTGAGGAGCAGCCTCATGACGAAGGGCCTGAAAACCTGCTGCTGCCCAGCGTACCAGAAAGGGGATCAGGGGAGAGTGTTACCCACAAATGTGAGCAGGGAGGAGCCTGCAAGAGGCAGAAGAGGAGCCCAGCTCACGAGACAGATCCCCCAGGGGAACGTGAGAGCAGATTCAGGAGACTAACCCAGCTCCCCGCACCAGGGAGACTTCGGACCATAGGGGACCATTACTGTCAAGGCAATTTTCTCAGGACAGAGAAACCCCACAGATGTAGAGACTGTGGGGAAAGGTTCTGGGAAAAGCAGAAGCTTACAGAGCATGGCAAAGTCCACAGGAGTGAGAGGCCTCATCCTTGTGCTGAATGTGGGAAGAGCTTCAACCGCCTAGCTCATCTCAAGACACACCAGAGAACCCACACAGGAGAGAAACCCTATTTCTGTGCAGAGTGTGGGAAACGCTTTGGCCACCTCTCCACACTGACCACTCACCAGAGATTGCACACAGGGGAGAGACCCTACTCCTGTGCTGAGTGCGGGAAAACCTTCACTCACCCCTCAGACTTGAATAAGCACCAGCGCTCCCACACAGGTGAGCGGCCCTACCCCTGTGCCGAGTGTGGGAAGCGCTTCAGCCAGCTCTCCAACCTGACTAAACACCAAAGAAGCCACACCGAGGAGCGGCCTTACCCATGCCCTGAGTGTGGGAAGAGCTTCAAGTACCTCGCTGATCTCACCGTGCACGAGCGCTCCCACACGGGCGAGCGGCCCTTCCCCTGCCCTGAGTGTGGGAAGAGCTTCAGTAACAAATCCTCTCTGGCCCGTCACCAGAGAATCCACGCCAGAGCCGCAGCCAGAAACAAGTGAGACCATGTTTAGACTATAGACTAACCAAGAGCTCCGCTCCTGTTAGCCTATATGTGCGATTGGAGCAGAAGAACCTGAGCCACTACTACACAGCCTGAGGGAAATCAGCCCTCCGCCCTCCCTTATGCCATCATCACCCCCTCACATCCTACAGGAGAATGAGGGAGGCTTAAGTGGAGTCCCAGTGCCTGAAACCTCCAGAAGATATTCTGTTCTTACCTGTTTTTACTAATAACACCTAGCTCTTGTATATCTCTCTCTATATGTTGAAGTGCTGCAGAAAGGAGGTAAGGTGATAGGAGAGCCCTGGTTTCCTTTCTGCTGCTCTGGGGCAGGTGTGTATTTGCAGTACCCATAAGCAAAGCAGGCCAGCCAGAAGAGGAGAAAGATCTCAACCTTGGAAAACAAAAATCCTATCAACTCCACAGGAGAAACGGCCCTGCTTCCCAACAGCATTCTGCTAGCAGCACCTCTCACTGCCTGGCCCCTGCAATGCCTGATTTGTAACTCAGTAGGAGGCACCAGGGACTGCACCTCTGTGACAGGCAATCTAGCCCCTCTGCCCCCACCACTGACCAGCTGTGTCACTGCCATCTTCCCTGCTCTGCCTCACTGGCCCTAGCTGCATCCCAGTCCTTTTGTCCCTCCCCAGCTGCCACCCAGTAAACATGTCCAAAGTCTGCCATGGTGCATTATTAAATCCCCTTCACCTGGCTGACTCTTCCTGCTCCCTTGTCTCAGCTATTTACTGCTTATGACTTAATTAATTGGGCACCTTCCTTGAATAGCCAGCTATTTATTTATCTCCCACCTTTGTCTTCTGCTCCTGCCCTGATCAGTACTCTGATATCACTTCTGTTTACTCCCGTTTCAGAAGCTGTCTTGTTGCTCAGCTGCCTTTGACCACAATTACCAATTCAGTTGTACTTATGGGAGGTTTTGATCACACTACATACACCCTGATCCTGCAAAGGAGCTCCATGTGAACAGGCTCCTTTGGAGCTCAGTGCCGGAATGGAGCCTCAGTATGTAACTCACTGACGTACCTCATTTGCTGCTGTTCTGATTTATTTATATGATTTCCTGTTCACCTGATTATAATGAATTTAACAGCACTCCCTGTCAGTTCAGTCATTAGTGCTGTGTACTTAACTCCTTCCCTAGTCACTTGTCTAACCTACAGCATTGTCCCTTAATTGGTAATCATAGAATCATAGACTTTAAGGTCAGAAGGGACCATTATGATCACCCCTGATCAAATTGGCCCTGTCAACACTGTTTCTCCACTTGTGAGGTAACTCCCTTCCCTTCATGTGTCATTATATAATGCCTGCATTTGTAATTTTCACTCCATGCATCTGAAGAAGTGGTGTTTTACCCACAAAAGCTTACGCCCAAATAAATCTATTAGTCTTTAAGGTGCCACCAGACTCCTTGTTGTTTTTGTGGATACAGACTAACACGGCTACCCCCTGATAAATCAAGATTGGATGTCTTCCTGAAAGACCCATTTTAACCAGGCTTGATGGAGGAACTCACTGGGTGAATGCTATAGCCTGTGTTATGGAAGAGGTCAGACTAGGTGATCATAAAAGTCCTTTCTGGTTTTAAAGAACTGTGTAATTCACACTCTGTTGCAGTTTCCTTTGCCTGAGTGTTGTGACTTGCATTATTCCTATGCTATATGGATGAATACAGGAAGATCTATGACACTGGGTAAGGCTTTGTTTACACTGGACTTTCGTCAGTGAAACGCCCCCCCAAACGACAAAAGTTTTACCAACGAAAAACACCGGTGTGAATAGTGCTTTGTTGGCGGGAGAGCTCTCCTGCCGACAAAGAGCGACTACGCTGCGCACCTTTTAGCAGTATGGCTGTAGCGGCACAGCTGTGTCACTAAAAGGTGCATAGTATAGACATAGCCTAAAGCCACTGTGAGGCATGTAACCCATCATCTTGTTACTTAGTGCTCCTGACTCTGTGTAGACAGACCCTTATCCACTGGATCTGCATTTATGAGTGCCAACACCACAAGAAATCAGTAGATGAAAACATACAAGGAGAGTATTGGAGCTGAGGAAACATCATTTATTTTGAATCCTGAACAACCTTTTCCTATGCTGGTTTCAATAAAGCCAGAGTTTGCAAACATTTCAAGTCACTGAAAGTGGGAAAATTCAGGGTCTCTCCTAATCTTAGGGTTGTAATTAATTTTTCTGTTAGCAACTGGAGTTTTAAATGAATCTGGGAAGGAAACACCAGGCCTAATGATACCAAACAATCAAATCCACATTAAAACGCAGGCTGTAATTGGTTCAGGATCAAGTATATGGGGAGAGGGTGCAGTAAGGGAAGGGATTGTGGTCATGTTCAGCACAACACGAATTGCCAAAAAATATGCTCTGAAAATAAAATAAAATAAAGGCCAAAGGAATGAGGTAGCTTTTCTGTCTGGGCCAATGAGCTGCTGGAAGCCTGAAAGCACCTCCCATGCAAGTTACAGCATTGCTTCCTTTGCAGAAATATGGTCAGCAATCCTAGAAGTGTAGGATTAAAATACCATGCAGAACTACTACATGGCTCCCATGAGAAGAGTCTCTGGGAGGAGGGACTCCACCAAGGAGAGATCCTAAATCTGCTGGGAAGTTCCAAACAGTCCTCAGACACCAACAGCCTGATCCTACCCCAAGGCCACATCTACACCTCAAATCAGTTAGGCAGGGGGCTCTGAGAATCCTGACAGGAATAAAATCTAGTCTCAGCTTCCAGGGGATGCTGGTCCTGGTCCTCCTCTGGTGTAAGTCAGGAGTAACTCCACTGAAGTCAAGAGAGTGACAGTGTAAAACTGCTGTGAGTAAGAGGACAATCAGGTCTGGAATCTGTAAAGATCTTAACTGACTCTGTTGTGCAAGGTTCTGGAGCCATCTCTCAGGTGGATGCTAGGGCCTCCCCAACCCATGGGACAAACCGTTTCTCTACCTCCTCCTGCTCACAGCCCTAGCAAGTCGCAGGGGAATCCCAAACACATCTAAAGAAACCTCCCTTACCCAAAGGCAGAGAGCCCCAAGTAGGCTCCATCCCAGCCATAGAGGAAGCCAGAGCAGGGAACAAAATGAGTTCATACGGATGCAGAGAAGAGACAAGCTACCCCCTGACTGGTAAAACGCAAGTAAGGGACTAATTGCTGCTGGGGGATTTCTGGCACTGGACAACTCTTCAGAGAAAGCCCTTCCTCATTTCCCAGGGGTTTAAACCACTGGTTCTGGGAGGAGATGGTGGGAGTCAGGGGCAGGGGCCGATGTTTCTCAAACTCTGTAGTAGTGGTTCCTGTTCCTCAGTTTCACATTATTATACACATACGTCTGGAGCGAAGTCCATGTCTGGCAAGGTCTCAGTTGTCTAGCTGGATTCTCTGGTAGGCTCTAGCTAGAAATCAGTCTGCGTGGCACTCGATCTGCAAGGAGGCTTTGTCCCTTGGGATCTGCCATTGTGATGCTGCTGATTCTCTGGCAGCACACCAGAGGCTCTCTCTCCCCAAATCCTTCCCCAGGGTCACTCCCCCATGTGGATTCTCTTGTGTTTAATGAGGTTTGATGGGTGCGTGTACCTTTTTTCACACACGTCGCAGACGTAGGGTCTTTCTCCAGTGTGGGTTCTCTGGTGTAGGGTGAGTGCGGAGACCTGGCTAAAGCTTCTCCCACACTCAGTGCAGGGATAGGGCCGCTCGCCCGTGTGCACCCGCAGGTGCTTGTTGAGATCCGACCTATTGCTGAACCTTTTCCCGCACTCAGCACAGGGAAAGGGCCGCTCGCCCGTGTGTACCCGCAGGTGCTTGTTGAGATCCGAGCTCTGGCTGAACCCCTTCCCACACTCAGGGCAGGGGAAGGGGCGCTCACCCGTGTGCATTCGCAGGTGCCTGCTCAGTTCGCAGGGGTGATTGAATCCTTTCCTGCATTCAGGGCAGGCATAGCGCCTCTCGGCAGCATGCAACCTCTGGTGATCGCTGAGATCTGAGGGGCAGCTGAACCTCTTCCCACACTCACCACAGGGATGGTGTCTCTCCCCCATGTGGATTTGGCGATGCGCAGCAAGCGTGGCCAGATGCCGGAAGCTCTTCCCACATTCCCCACAGGAATGGGGGCTCTCCCCTGTGTGGGATCTTTGGTGTTTAGAAAGCTCTGACCGATGCTTGAACCTCTCCCCACATTCAGCACAGGGATGGGATCTTTCCCTCCTGTGGACTCTCCCATGGGCCAAGAGTTCCTGCTTTTCATGGAAGCTTTCCCTACAGTCTATACATTTATGGGGTTTCTCTTGGCTATTAAGATCTCCCATGGCCCCAGGTCTGCCCTGTGAAAGTGGCTGGGGAAGTCTGAATCTGTTCTCACACTCTCCTAAGGGATCTGACACATTCCTGACTTGGTTCCTCTTCTGCTTCTCGCAGGCTTCTTCCTGCTGAGGACTCTGGCAAGCAGTCTCTCCTGATCCCCCTTGTAACATGTCCGGAAGCTCCAGGTTTTCAGGCCCTTCCTCATGAGACTGTATCTCAGCTTTGCTCAGGATCCCGGCACCTGCAGAGTGGAAAGAGAATCCAGGGATGATTTAATCTCTCACATTTCCAGCAGAGGGTACGACCTGGCAGACTCACATCCATGATAACTGGAGATACCACCAGAAGGAGCCCCACACTTACCCAGGAAAAAAAATGGGGACCAAGAGGAGCTACAGAGGGGCACAATCCATAGCTCCAAAATCCGATCACCTTCTCCCCTGGCTTCATAATTTTCTCACAACTGTGAGGGGTTCAGCTCCCGCTCGGATCTCAACTGCGTCAGGCCAGAAATCTCTTCCCTTTCCTCCCAGTTCCCTCCTTTTCTTGGCTCATGCAGAAATCCCCTCATCTCTCTCCCTCTCCTTCATTTCTGGCACTCTCCCCACTTGCTCCCTACTTCGCTCACCTGCCGCCAGTACATTTGGTCTGCACATTAATCCTTCTGGAAATCTCCCCTTTGGTCATGAGTGTGACCTCTCCCCAAAATCACAAGTTTTTAAAAAAAAGAAAAACCGCCAATGATCTGTAAGCCCATGTGAGGTTCTGAACTGCATTCCGGTTTTGCATTTTTTAGCGGGAGCTGCCTGGCCCCAATGTGTGTGAAATCATTTCAGGGTCAAAATTCAAAGTGAAGCGCACAATCAGAATGCAGCCTCACCACTGAGGGCTCCAAGGGGGACTCCACCTAATCCCTTAACCCCTAGAATGGTGGCCAAAGCTTCTCCACTCTCCTCCCCTATCACTGACCTTTTTCTCTCCCTTCAACGCCTCCTTATCAACCCCACCAAGTCTCCTCTCCCCACTCACGTTATCCCCCTCTGCCTCCAACACTCCTGTCCCCAGTTTCCCTCCCTATCACTTTATAGCATCTTACCCCTCACATTTTCCCTTGCACTTGAAAGATGTTCCCAACTCCTCTCTTGCCTCTTCAGTTTCCTCCTGCACCTCACATTCTCCTGCCCCACCTTCCTCCATCTCCTCCTGCACCCCATATACCCTATGTCCCTGTCTCTCTCCCTGTACCCCCCATTCATCCCTCCTGTCCCTCATATCTACTTGCACATCTTCAGCCTCCCTTCTGTTCCCTGTATTCCCCTGTCACCTCATGGCTTCCAGTTCAGCCTCCTAACAGAGGCAGCCATCTTCCCTGAGAACAGTCTGGCTTCAGTCTCCATGTCCACTAGGGGCAACCTCACTTCCATGTGCAAAAGCTATAGGGAAATGGCCAGCTTGAGGGAGGCCATCTTGTCTTCAACTCACTGAAAGTAATGAGAGAGGACACATGAGACTGTGAGAAAATGTGGGCGTTTGCTGTGAGATCATGGGCACATCCCCCCGACCGACCTGTGTAGCTCCCTAAACACCCCAATAGACAGGCCCCTCCTTGCACATCCCCCCACAGACAGATCCCTCCCTGCACATCCCCCAACCT